CTGTATCTTGAGTAAGTCCTAGTAAAATGGACCTCTGAGCTTGCTTAGGAATTTGGGCAAAGCATATAATTTTAAGCTGATAAGCAATTACTATCACTACAGACTTAAAGATTCATCAACAGATCCTGGTTTCTTCTGATTTTTATACTAAATAACCTAGAAATTACTGGTGAGGGTTAACTTGTTGCCACATCATGGAAATGGAAATTTAAATAAATTCATAAAGTGAGGAAAATCAAAATAAAACACCTCCCAATTCTCCCCCCAGGTATTTGGCAGCAACACTTAATTAGTTCCAACTGAAAGCTTGTGCTGTGACATCTGTTTATGAAGCTGAGCAGTTCTTTTCTTTTTTTTTTTTTTTTTTCCTAGTAGGATTAGTTTAAAAAATATTGAGGAATTGCATGTAATTTGATATTTTTACAGGTAGGAATTGAGATTTTGAGAAATCGCTGGTGCCTTGGATCAACTGGATAGTGTTTTTAGTTACAAGTAGTTTATTATTCCAGTACTCTGAAAGGACACTGAAAGTGTTATCCCTGTCCTGCATGTCCACCTCTGCAGTTTGTAAACCTTTCTTGTACTTCAGTTTGCTTTTTCAAAAGATGTGAACCAAATAGAAATATTCTTATTTTAGAGAAGATGTTTATCTGGATGTGTGATGCATACATGGAAGGATTAAACAGGCTTATGGAAAGTTAAATTTTTGTCCAATAAAGCAAGAAGTTAAGAATAAGGTTTCCTGTATATAATAGTAGTAAAATAGCAATATTGAAATAGAACAAACTGATGAAAGACCTTTAAAAGTAATTCTGCACAATGGTTGTTGTGTGCAAGTACTTTAAGCAAAGCTATCTTGGCTTTTTTTAGAGTATAGATTTGGGCATGATTTAGTACTTCAAGCAGGGCTTGTTGCTGACCAGGCTGTTTTTGTCTCGCACTGTTCTGCTTTGTAGGTGAAAATGAAACAGTGTCCTGCTTTCGTGCACACTTTGAAGAACAGCTGAAAAATTACAAAAAGCAGGTGAGTTCTGCATGGTAAAATAGTCATCTTATGAAAATGCAGGGGATGATAGTTTTAGTTTTTCTTGGTAATGTGGGTTGTGGTTTTTTTAGAAACTTTTTGACAATTGGAAGGGTGGTACAAAATTTTATGAAGTTTTTCAAGTATCCTTGTAAGTTACCTTATGAAAAAAAAAAAACCCAAACCAAAACAGACCCAGCAATAACTTACAGAAATGTGTAAGCCTCATGTTTGTATACCTGTTGTGTGAATGCATAGCTTTTCTGTAAAAAAAAACCAACCAAACAAACCCAAAACAAAACAGACCCAGCAGTAACTTACAGAAATGTGCAAGCCTCATGTTTTTATACCTGTTGTGTGAATGCATAGCTTTTCTGTATTAAAATTCAGGTAGGCAGGTAATTGTTGGAGCTTATTTGATTTTGGGTACAATCTAGCAAAGATCATAACTTCAGTAAGATTACCTACAAGTCTTTTTTAACTCTTGAGCTATTTATTCTTTCATGGTATATATCTAAGCAATCTGTGTAGCAGATGTCAAGTGTTAAATAATTAAACTTTTGAACAGGTTATTATTAATTTGGTGGATCAGACTGGCAGAGAGATAACTCTTGAGCTATTTATTCTTTTATAGTATATATCTAAGCAAGCTGTGTAGCAGATGTCAAGTGTTAAATAATTAAACTTTTGAACAGGTTATTATTAATTTGGTGGATCAGACTGGCAGAGAGAAGATTATTGGAGATGCTTACCTTAAACAAGTTCTTCTTTACAACAATGCAAATCTGACTTATGTTTCATTTGACTTCCATGAGCACTGGTAAGATGCCTTTTAAAAATGTCACTTTGCATCTTTTTTTCTTTATGAGCATGAAATGAGAGCAGAAGGGAGGAGAAATCATTATTTCTACTTCTGTGTGAAATGCTTTTTTAAATAGGAAAAATACACTTTGTAACCTAAAGGACTATAAAAGTGGAAGTTTGGATAACCAAGCACTGCTGTTTGTTGATGTTGTGTCCCTGACCTGTCAAATATGCAGTTATTTATTAGGTGAAGCTTAGAGGTTGTTATGCATTTTAAGCAAGAGTTTCCTTAAACATGCTGTGAATGTAAAGTTGTGGCTGACCTGCTTTTCAAACTGTGTAGCATCCTGCTTTTAATTCTTTACTACCAGCCATTCTTCTGTTTCTCTTGCTTGTTTCTAGAAACATACGGTGGGTTCTTTCAGAACCCTGATGCTGTTATTCCATTATAAAATACACTGGATTTTATTTTAACCCAGTATAAATAGTTGCTCTTTTATGAGTCTGCTCTGATGTTGGCATGGTCTAGTGCAGTGTGATCTGTCACACAGGCATGTATTTCTCATGCTTCACTCAAGCAGACTGCATTTGTGTACAAATATGGGATCTAAAAACTCTGGGTTTTATCTTCATTTCCTAACTTAATCTAGGGATTGCATCTGGCCTGGAAAAGCATTACTGATTAAGTACGTCATTAGTGGATATTGTCTGAGAGGATAGGGGGGGAAGGGAAAAAACCCCTCAAAACAGTCATGGCCTTTAAGAGACTTCTTTCCTATTGACATCCTGAATTGATTTGATACTTAATCTTTTGTTTAAATGACCTTTCATTTTTGCTTGTTTGCTTTTCTCCTAAGAACTGCTATAGTGACCAGGACTGTTTCTTTTTGTACTATGAGCATGAGTGAATAGAGAACAATGCTGAAAGCAACCTGGTGGGGTGGGGGGAGGAAGGGGTGGTGTGTCTGTAGGTGCTTATTTTTCCTCTGTGGAAGCAGGACAGGACATCCCAATTTCAAACCTATAGCTGTAGGTGTTTTTTTTCTTTGTAGAAGCAGGACAGGACATCCCAATTTCAAACCTATAGTGGTTGCTTTTGAGAATGTGCCTAAAATGGGAACAGAAGGTTGCATACCTGAATAGCTGTGCACTTATCTTTCCTTGTGGAAGTAGCTTTCAAGAATGCAAACTCTTGACAATTTAAAGATCTGAATCTCTTGCCTTGCATTTAGGTATTGAGCTGTGCTTTAAAATAGTTCTGAATATTGGCTGCTATTTAATGCTTATTGCAGGAGGGAGTGTCTCTCCCACTTAGCCAAAACCACTGTGCTAAGGTTACAAATAATATAAAATAATTAAGTAAACAAAAATCACTATTCAAGGTCAAACTAACTGCTGTGAAATTCTGTATTTTAGCCGAGGAATGAAGTTTGAAAATGTTCAAACACTGACCGATGCCATTCACGATATTATTCTTGACATGAAGTGGTGCTGGTAGGTACTTCACTGTTCTTAGACTAATATGAAATCTTTGTAGAAAAAAATAAACCAGTACATACACAGAGGCCTTGATTTTGTCATAACTGGTATGTTTTATATTCTTCTCTCTGTGGCCAGATTATGTGTCAAGAGTTTTTGTGTTCTGAGGTGTTGGTGTTCTACATGTGTAATAGCAAAAATTCTCAGACACTGTTTTCTCTGAAGCTTACTGCATTTAACATGCTTAGGAGTTCTTATATCTAATGTGAAACACTCTGTATTTGGCTCACGAACCCTAGAACACCAACCTTACTATTGAAAACAGTAGGCATGTTTGACCTTTAGTTTGTGCATTTTGGTAATGAGCACGGCCACAGTCTTCAATCAATCACTTGATATTGTTCAGTAAAATTTTCCAGTCTTTGTAGAAGCTGGTAAATTATGCTGGATTTGAAGTGTCTCAGTATGCTTTTACTCTGTTTTTCTGTTAAAAGGGTTGACCAAGCTGGTGTGATTTGTAAACAGGAGGGAATTTTTCGGGTTAACTGCATGGACTGTCTGGATCGTACCAACGTGGTGCAGGCTGCTATTGCGAGGGTGGTCATGGAGCAGCAGGCATGTAGAACTAATGTCCTTTTTCAAGTACCAAGTACCTCCAAGCTTAATTGTTATTCTCAGGGAAATCTGTGTGTCTGAAAAATGCTAAACTAACCTCTACTAAAAAGGATCTTTATGACCTACTTGGAGAGCCATGAAGCTGAAAGTAATGTGTACAACTAAAATAACTCTCTAAATCATTATAGAACACTGCCTATTTTCCTCTCTTCAGAGAGGAAACTACTGTCTATATCTTGGGGAGGATTCTCTTGTTTTGATTTAATGGCTTCAAGTTGTGTGGTAATACAAAAAAAAAACCCACAAAAAACAAAAAGCCAAATCCCTGCCCACAAACATTAAAGGACTAAAATCTAAAAGTTGGATGCTACTTTAGGCTCTTTAAAGTGAAACACTGTGGTGTAGCAGGTAGGGAGATAACTGATCTCCTCTGTGTGAAGAGGAGCAATTAATTCATGTTGTAAATATCCCAGATGGTTGACGACTATGCTCTGGAGTAGCTCTTCCTGTATAGAGAAGGCATTTCCAAGTAGACAGAGTCTTTCCTTTTGTCATCCTCTTGTTTGTCCCCCCATTTGCTTTTTGACGTAGAAGCTCAGTGATGATTGTTTTCCCCTGTGTATTGTCTTCCTTAATAGCACTGTAAATGAAACTTTGAGACTTTGGTTACAGCCCAGCCCAAAATAAACCAATGTGACTGTACTTAAAGTGAAGGATAAAGGATAGGGCTTTCAAAGTCAACGAACAATCTTGTATCAATTTTTGTTTAACTTGTGATGGGTGCTTGAACATTTTTTTTTGTTGGCTATAAATTGAGCTTTGCTTCTGATTTAATCCAAGATATCCCTCGCGTTTAGTGGCTACACTACAGTTACATATGAGTAGTACTGACTGCAGATGGGAAACTGGTGCTTTACCAACTGAGTGCCTGTAAAGAGGCTGAAGTTTGTATTGTGCCCAAGACTGACCTTGGAAAAACTTAAGTCCTGGTTGTTCCGAAGAGTAAGATACCTTACTTCTAGTATCAGTGTTAAACAGTAACTGTCCATTAATAATAAACACAACAGATGGAGTTGTTGTAAGGTTTTATTTTGGGGGAGAAGTAAGTTTGAAGATGGAGCCACTACACTTGATTTAGTGTGTAGAAGCAAAAGAGTAAGAATCCTGGTGTGTTTTTTCTTGTAACTGGAAAGAGATTCCATTTCTTTATTTTCAGACCTTTGAGGTCACGAGGGCCTTTGCAATAGAAGACATTAACTTGTTTATCCATGTTTAAATTTTGTGATGTCTGTTCTGCTGATGGTAGAAAACAGAATCATTTCCTGTATCTTGATAATCGAGAGTAACTTGTTTTCCTTCAGCTAATTTTTTTGAAGATTGACTTACATCCATAATTAATGTACTGCTGCTACATCCAGTGATATGATATTTAACAATGAATTGGTGATTCATTGCTAGCCATTAATTTAATTTGACAAATTGGCAGAATGGTTTCCTTTTTCAGATCATACAAAATTTAACAACTAAATCCTTGGCAAGTGTTCCCATTTTCTTTATCAAGCTCTGATATTGAGAATTATTTTTACCTTGAAACTTCTATTAACGTGTATGTCAAACTGCAGCTCAAAAAGCTGGGTGTGATGCCACCAGAGCAGCCTTTGCCAGTGAAATGCAATAGAATCTACCAGATAATATGGGCCAACAACGGAGACGCCATAAGCCGGCAGTACGCTGGCACCGCTGCCTTGAAGGTAAAGGATGAAGAGTGTTACTGGTTCTGATCATTAATATGTTGTTGCAGGTTTTATGTCCAATGAGGAACTCTTGTATGTGTAATGAAGTTGGCCAAATATTTCTTTTGTCTTCAAGAGATGAGAGGCATTTCAATAGAAGAATATTTTGTCACACTTAGTGTGAATTAGAGAAGACTTGAGATTGAGAAATGTTAACATCATTCTGTTAGTTTTCTGTTTACATACAAAGCACAGTGAGCAAAGAGTTTAAGATCTATATTAAGCTTTGCTTCTATTTAAATTTAAGCATGGTTATGGTAGTTCTAAGCCACTACAGTACTTAAGAATGCAGTTCAAGATATGTTGGTAGAAGGGTGATATTAACTAGTTACATTTTCTAAGGACTTTTCACAATTAGTTGTAATGCAGTCTGTCTATCAAGATCAGAAATCAGGCATGAAAGTCCTTATGGTGTCCAGATTGTTTTTCCCTAGGACTTTCTGTAGAATGATAGGTCTGTCAAAAGTGTAAGATTCTCTGCAGAGAGTCAAACAATGACAGAAGTAGATGTTCTTTGAAAATCAATGTTTTCAATTTCTATATGAAATAGTTACTTGAACACCATTTCTGAGTTGTCATCTGTTGAGTTCTGAGTTTCAAAATGCCAAAGCTTTTTATCTGAGGCTATTACTTCCAAGGTGTGTATGTGCATGATTTGTGTGTTCTGTGTGACAGGGTGATTTCACAAGGACTGGGGAAAGAAAGCTGGCAGGGGTCATGAAGGATGGAGTGAATTCTGCAAACAGATACTACCTGAATCGCTTCAGGGATGCTTACAGGCAAGCAGTCATAGGTAAGAATACAATTCCAGCTAAGATGAACTATGGTGTTTAGGAAAGTTTATTGAAATCATCTTGATTTTATCTCTTTGACAGATTTATCTTTTTTTTTTTTGAAGCTTAAAAGCACCTTGAGTATATGTAATGTTCATGTTTATGTAGTGGACACCATATGGATCAATCAATTCTCCATTTGGAGATTAAACAACATTTAATTTGGAGTGATTACATGCAGTGAAACTCATTGTAGAGCTTGCTCCTAACTTCATTTGAGCATTAACTGTCTTCTAACATCTCTCTATTAGACAAAGCTAAACTTACGTAGCAAGTGTTTGTTAAAATGGTGAATGAACTCTTGCTTTTCAGTGAGAAAATAGTGTTATACTTACTGAGTTTTCAGTTCGGGGCAACATTCTATTTGGAAAGAGTTGCTAACCATTTTTCCCAGAGTTTCTTGAAGTATAGTATATATTTGGAAGGAATTTACAAAGTAATTATAGATTATTGCTGGATATCACTCAACTGTTGGTTCCTTGTTTGATATTTTGTGTGTTTTATTTAGATTTGATGCAGGGTATCCCCGTAACAGAGGATCTTTACTCCATATTTACAAAAGAGAAAGAACATGAGGCCCTGCACAAGGAGAACCTGAGGAGCCACCAGGAGCTGATCAGCCAGTTGTTGCAGAGCTACATGAAACTGCTCCTGCCAGATGATGAAAAATTCCATGGAGGATGGGCACTCATTGACTGTGATCCAAGGTTTGTTGAATAAAGTCATAAGTGATCATTGATCAGCTGCTACTGTGACTCCTCTGTTATTTCCTGCTGATATGAAATGATTTTGGTAGTGGATGTGTTAATAGAATAAAAATGGACAGTTTTGTAGAATGATAGGAGTCCTTGAAGGGATTGAAAACTTGATTGTAAATGGAAAGGCCCTCTAAAAAAGTGTTTTTCTCTAAGTGCCATGTGAACAGTGCATGCTGCAGTTCCCTTTGAGACATCACCTGGAAACACCTGCATTCAGTTAATACTGTCAGAATGTGGTAGGCACCATGAAGAGAACTTCTAACCACCCTTAGTTCTAGAAGTGGCTGTTGGAGGAGGCATTGTTCCTTATTGCTTTATAGGGAAAGTGTAATTTGACTTCAAAGTTGTCTATGGTCAGATTAAAGTCTTGTGAAATGAGTTAGCAGGAAAGCCTAGACTTCTCTTTATGAGAAGTAGTGAGCATAAACTCTAACTTCACTGATAAGTCTCCTTATCAAGTTCAGAGTTCACCATCTTGTAACAGCAAAACAGTGGTTAGGTCTTCTGCAGGTTAAACTTCAGCATCTAAAAATAGCAAAGCAGTATGTTATGATAGTTAAGGTCTGTGCTTTGAAGAGCCGAGTTTTGAGATCTTTCCATGCCCCTGTTAGCATTTTTAATAGCTTGTGGGTTCTCTGTTTGTTTTTGGACCTGCTGCTGACCTGGTTGAGCTATTGGGTAACTCCAGGTTTCAGTGTTGTTTACAAGGATCTGCTTATTGTATGGCAGAGTCTAATAATACATCACGTTTTGGCTTGTGAAGGGTCACACCTACCTTGGTTTCTCAGTGGCTGTGAAGGCAGCAGCATCACATAAGATAATACACCATAATTGAAACCTCTTGTTGTAATGTGCCTTCAGTTGTAAAAAATGTCCTTAAAATACACTGGGGATGGGTTACAGCTGTGCAAATAAAGCCTTCTCCCCTCGGTTCATTCTGTTCCTTCTTCCCCTTCCTTAGTCTCATCGATGCCACTCATAAGGATGTGGATGTTCTGCTGCTGCTTTCTAATTCTGCCTACTACGTGGCCTAGTAAGTTACTGCTTACTTTGTGTAGTTTATTTTCAGTAGCTTTGTTTTAGATTAGTAGGAAGCATTAAATCCTCTTTCTTTTTTTGTTTTTCTAGTTACGATGATGAGATCGACAAGGTGAATCAGTACCAAAGGTTAAGTCTTGAAGCTCTGGAAAAAATAGAAATAGGTAAGAATGTAGTGGCCATATATCTGAATGCTCTTAAACAGCTTGAGCACTTACTAAAGCATCCTACAAATATACTGACACAGCAGGCCTCAGTGTATTGCATAAATCCTGCAAGTCCACTGCAGCTAGAAATGGGCTTTCTTCCTGATAATGGATGACAGAGTTGAGTCTGTGCTCTCCCTCTGTCCTGTCTTTTGCTACTGCTTGAAATGGAGACTTTGATTCTAAAACTTTCTCTTTCAAACTTGTAAAACATGGATTCATCAAAAAAAATTTCATTGTTTATCAGTTGGCAGTAACAATTTGATCAATTTCTGTAATGAAGCTCAGGTTTGTGCATTCAGTGCACTCATTACTTCCAAATACAGCAGCTGGTTCTCAATTGTACTTTAGATTTGTTTCATAGCTTTTTTTCTAAAACTCTTATCAAGGTCTGATGAGAAACACGCTATTATGAAATAACCTTGTTATGCTGATTAACCTTTTTATTCTCTGAGGAATGTAACATCTGCAGGCTAAATCCAGCATTTTTAGCTGAAAGTGTTAAAGATGTGATATCTTTGCCTTTACAGATGAAAAAGGTTTTCCAGTTGGAGAGGAGAGAGGGAAATTTGTGGCCTCCAGTGTGTGTGTCCCCCAGTAGAGTTTAATCCTCCATTACACAATCTGTAGTGATTTCATCAGCTCTTTGCTGTAACTTTCACCATTTATGTGCAATTTCTAAGAGTTCAGTGGAAAGATCTCTCTTAATTCTGTATTGTGGAGATCTGTAATATGTCCTGCCATAGAAAATATAGTTGAAATATCTAGACCAAATACCTTACTAAAAAAACAAACATCCTGTTTAATGATGTAGATATGATGCAGTGTGTTGAAGAGTTGAAGTACTTGGTCTTGATCTAGAGACTTAAATTTCTTCCACTTGGTAAAAATACACTAGTTTTCCCTTTAATCCTTGCAGGAACATATCTTAAAACACAAGATGAAATAGGTTTAGAATTCTTTTTTCTTCTATTTGAAAGGATGGTCTGTAATAAACAATCAGGCTGGATTATAATAGGCATACACAGATTGTCTAATTGCTTTTTTTAACTAATTGATTGTTTAGCTATTGTGAAAATCTTTCATGTTAAATGTCAATCCTACATTAAAGAAAACATGAAGCTTTTTATGCTGGAAAAAGACTGTAAGCTCTTACGTATGTTTAGGGACTGTCTTTGCAATATCTCTTTTGGTGTTTGGTTAAAGAAGATTTCAACTTGATTTTGAATTTCTCAGGCCCTGAGCCTACCCTCTTTGGCAACTAACTTATGTCTCAGGCCCTGAGCCTACCCTCTTTGGCAAACCCAAGTTCTCTTGCATGAGGCTGCATTACAAATACAAGGAAACGAGCGGGTATTTCCACACCCTCCGAGCCGTGGTGCGCAGCCCCGAGGAAGATGGAAAAGGTTTGTTTCACATGTAGAAGTGTATTCAGCATCGCAGGGTTTTCTAGGAAATGCTTGTTCCATTGCTCTCAGAATAACTTCTGAAGGACAAATTCTAATGTAATCCCATTGAATAGGGAACTGACAAAAACTTGGCTTCTTGCGTTGACACTAGAATGTTACTGTTCTAATACAAAGAAAAATAACTCTCAGGTATGGTTTTAAAGCAACTTGTCTCTCTAGAACTGAGATGTTTCCATGTCCAGAGCTTTGTTGATCTAAAAACTGATTAAATTTAAAATAAGCTCCTAAAGAGTGGAAGACATTTATTTAGTGAAATCAATGTCTAGAATTGTTCTTGTTCCTTGTTTAACTAAATTAAGTGAATGCTAATAAGGGAAAAATATCTCTTCTTACCTGGAGCACTGAGTTTTGTCAGCAAGGATTAGAATGACTATAATTGCTTCTCTTTCTTCCACAAATGATGAATTGTGGCAGTGGTCTGTTTCTACCCAATATTTAGGGCTTAAGGAGAGGCCACTCTTTAGGCTTATTCTGTAGGCTTTGTACCAGAATTGCACCTTGTAGGGTGCAGCTATTCTGTAAGGTGAAAGAAAAGCTACAACAAGAAGAAACTTAATTACGTTACAAGAAAATAAGTCTAATTTTAGATTTTTGGAATATGGGATTTTAAGTATTGTTTTAAGGGTCTGACAAGCTGCTAATTGGGTTTCAGATACTCTTCAGTGCATCGCCGAAATGCTGAGAATCACCAAGCAAGCCATGGGACTAGATGTGCCCATTATTGAGAAGAAGCTGGAGAGGTGAGTACTTCCAGGGTGTGAACATCCTGTGCCCCGCTGCTGCTCTGTCCTCAGCGCCTGACAGAATGTGGTAACAGCCAAATATGTGGTGTCTAAAGAAACATCAGCATCCGACTGCTGTGCTGGGAGTTTAGTTATCCCTACACTGCTTCACTAATAACTGCAGGTGCTTACCTAAATCTAAGAAAGAATACTGCTTTATAGCTGTATGCTTACAGACAATAGACATTACCAGCCACAAATAACACGCTGCAAATCGGATGGTTCATGATCAGTTTGTCAAATTTAATTTTGCCTATCTGACCTTAACATCTGCTTCTGTAGTAAGATGACAACAACCTTTGAAGCATAGATCTGGTTTGGATGCCACTGCAGCTGAGTGGTTAACACATCCAGATAACATTATGGGTCTTGTGTGAAGGAATGTCTGAAGTTAAGCTTCTAAGTATTAGAATGGCACAGAATTTCTTCCTTTTGGAAGACCACTACGAGAAGTCAGCACATGAAAGCATAGGTGATAATTAAAAGGACTTAGAGAAAACTACCTAAAAAAAAAAATAATCTACTAAGTCAGTTGTCTATAATTAAACAGAAGTAACCTTTATCTACAAATATTGGTGAGGTGCTAACAAAGGAAATCATTTACAAAGGACAGTGGTGTAGAAATGAGAGGATGGCTGGCTGGAGCTCAGCATGTTTTACCAGTTCAAGTGCAACCTGTTGCTTTATTTTGGACCCTTCCAGTTCAGGCTGCATGAATGACTAGAAGATGGGTTGTGTAGCACCATTGTAAATTGTCAAGTGAAAACTATTAGGGCATGCACTTTGAGAATTTTCTTCTGCATGTGACTGTTGGGTTACTATTTCAGCTGCTTTTCCCAGCTGAGAAGAAAGCATAGCAAGAAAATCTTCCCTCTGTACTGAAGACTGAATAGTTACTAAATCTGGCTACTGAATCCAGCATACACGAAGTCAGGGTTACAAATATAGAGAATTTAAATGCAGTTTCATCTAAAATTTGAAAAATGCCTACTTTTCCCTTTCTTTGGCTACTGTTCTGTATCAATCCACCTTTGTTTTTGTGGTTTTGAATGTGAGTGGTTTTATATGGGTACAATTATGTAAGGAAAGGGTAACTTAATATCTAAAATATCAATCTCTGTTATGGAAATAGACTGGAAGATGGTACCTGCTTGGTGTTTATAAGTAAGACTGCTTTGTACACTAGAGATTATTTTCTTCTTTTTCCAGGAAGAGCAGCAAACCTCACGAAGACATCATTGGCATTCGCTCTCAGAACAGAGGGTCCCTGGCCCAAGGCAAGAATTATTTACTGAGCAAGTTCTCGTCCCTCAATCAGAAAGTGAAACAAACCAAATCCAACGTGAACATCAGCAACCTTCGGAAGCTGGGCAGCTTTGCCAAGCCTGAAGTGAAAGTCAATTTTCTAAAACCCAATTTGAAAGTGAATCTTTGGAAGTCAGACAGCAGCCTTGAGACTTTAGAGAATCCGGTGGTCGATACGAAAGTCCACACCGAGTCCGACACGGAAGGGTCGGACAATGACTCGTTCCACTCTGATGACTACCTGACTAATTCCAAATCTGATGAGGACACCCCTCTGACGGGCTCCCTGGAGAACATGGGGCAGGTGGACTACGTGCTGCCCAGCTGCGGCATCATCGCCTCCGCCCCGCGCCTGGGCAGTCGCTCCCAGTCCATAAGCAGCACCGACATGAGCATCAGCATCCACGTCCCCTCCGACATCCACGGCTCTCAGGAGAGCAGGTCTGACTCTGAGGATGTCCCCTTGCCTTCTGCTGACAACGCGGAGGTGGAATTTGCTAAACCCATCGATGTCTACTGCCAGAGGTTCGTGCACGATGCTCAGAGTCAGATGTCAGATGTTTTGGAGGCTGAGGTTGGCTCTCAAGAGCCCCATCATGTAATGAATCAACCCAGCAATAACACACCTAAGAAGGCAGAAACCAAGGCTGAAGCCACCACAGACATTCCTTCCAGGCCATCGAAGTTGGACGTACAGTCTTCTGAGCCAAATCTTCAGCTTTTGGCTGTTGGTGGGACTGACACTAAACCTCATAAAAGCCCAGGATCTGCATCTGGTACCCTGGAGACGGGACTCCCCATGACTCCTTCTCCGGCCGACGGCAGCAGCAGCAGAGCTGTGTCTCCTTTTGCTAAAATCCGCAGTTCCATGGTGCAGGTTGCGACCATCACGCAGGCGGGGTTGACTCAAGGGATTCACTTTGCTGTGGCAAGGGTCCAGAAGAGCCCTGCAGAACCCGAAGCCCTCAATGAAATCAAACAAAAAGAACTGAAGGAAATGTTTACGCAATGCCAGACGCGGATCATTCAGATCTAGTTTGCTGATTTTTGGAAGTGTTCTTCTGCCTCTTAATCCAATACTTCAAATATTATATCAGGACTCATGGTGGCATGAACTGCTGCTGGATACCGGGATCAATAACCTATAGATAACTTTGTTTACAGGAAGTGAGAGATGTGAATGAATTTGGTTCTGACCAAGCTTCCAAATTCCCTCGGGCAGCTGAGACAGGAGAAGGGTGAACCCTATTGAAACAGGTAGCTTAGACACTGGGCTGTAGTGAGCGTGCTGGCTGGCTGGCTGTCTTCTCTCTGTTTCACAGTTATTTTTTGGAGACTAATTTTTGTAGCTCTTCTGACTTATTTAGAAAGTATTTATACTACAAAGGTGATACTGCACTTCTGTGACCTTACTTAACCTTGCACTGCACCAGCAAAATAACTTACCGGTAAAACTAGGTTTTTATTTATTTTTTTTGAACTAGTATTTTTACTTGTTTCCATGGAAGGTTTAGATGCAGCTTTCTACTATGAATTGTGCCTCTACAGTGGGAATTGATGGGGTTTTGTTGAACTTAATTTGTTAACCAGAAATTAAGATTTCTTTTTGCTGTCTTTTTTTTTTTTCTTTCCACGCATCCTGGGACACTTTCAGTAGGGATGAAGTGTAGATCCAACCTGAAACACCCACGATCCTGCAGTGCAAATTTAGTTTGTCATTTCTTTTTTCTCACTTGTGTTGAGGTGAGGGGAAATGAAGGAAGCTCCTCTAATTGTCTCGCCTGTGCTAAAGCTATTCCTGTTTCCTTTTTTCCAAATGCCAAACGCTGGCAATTTACTCCAATTTTCCTTGTCTCTGTGTAAAGCAAGACAAACCCCACACCTGACCTTCAGGCGTTGTGTGTGTGTCTCTCTGCTAGGATTTTTTGTTAAACTATATTCTAACTATCAGGATGCAAAAGTCCAAATAACTTCTGAAGTAGGAGGCAAGTGTAGTCTTTCAGAAAATCCGTGTTGCATGAGAGCGTAGCTGTGGGCATCTCACCACAACCAAATTCATTCCCAGCTCAAGCTTTGCAGACTTGCAGGATAAAGGCTAAGCATCCACTCGTGCTGGGGATTGGATAATAAATAAAAACATCCCTTCTCTATGTGTGTCAAGTAATCAAATTTATCTAAATTACCCTTTCCCAGCGCTGCCTTGCCATGCTCTTCTAGGGTAGGACATTATCCAAAAGCTGCTGTAGAGCAGGATCTTCCTCTGCTGTGGTTTGTGACTCCGACCACTGCTCGGAGCTGGTGCCTCCATGTCCCCATCCCTGTCCTGTAGATATCTAGGCTGCACGTGGTGTCCAGCAGGTGTTGTCACAGGGGTAGGGTAGGACAGTCTCTTAGGGCTTCTAGTGTCTGAAACAAGTGTCATCTACCCCCCTCCATCGTCTGAAACTTTGATAAACAAATCAGATTTATTTATTTGTTTTATTAAAGTGATGTGGGTTTGGGTTTTTTTTTTTTGAGTGTCTATACTTGTGGTTATATTTAAAATTCAACTACTGCTGTATTTTAATGTGAGCAATATACATGAGATATTTTAATAAAAAAACGGTGGAATCAAAAGATGTTTTTTGGCACGTGGTGTTTGCCCAGGGCTGGGGGGCTCCAGGTTTCAGAGATGGGTGGGTTGTCCTGACTTCCTCTGGCTGGAGAGTCAGAGAATCACAGAGTGGTTGATGTTGGAAGGGATGGCTGGAGGTCATCTGCTCCACCCTCCTGCTCAGGCAGGGCCACCTGGAGCTGGTTGCCCAGGGCCATGTCCAGATGGCTTTTGAATGTCTCCAGGGATGGAAACTGCCACCCCTCTGGGCAACCTCTTGTCGTGCTCAGGCACCAGCGCAGTGAAAAGGGGTTTCCTGATGTTTGGAGGGAATGTCCCCTGTTCCAGTGTGTCCCTGTGGCCTCTTGTCCCAGCCCTGGTACCACCAGGTCCTCTTTTGTGGTGACTCCTACAGCCTAGAAGAGGCCTATAGGGAAGGGCACTGAGGGGTGGCTATAAAATCACTCCTATAATTAAAAGAAATATGACTTAGTAACAGTCTGGGGCAGATCTTCCTGGAAACCAGCTCCTGATGGGCTGTACTGGTTCAGTGCTCGGTGATGCAAACACAGCGTGTCCCTCCAGCTTGTGAGTTGTCCAATACTTAGGAAATATTGGAGATAGTCTCAAATAATCCACAGCAAATAATCCACAGCAATGTGCATGAAACACTCCTACAACCCCGCTGTGCTTTGCAGCCAGGCTGCCTTTTGAAGGGAGGCTTCATTTTCTTGTTTGTTCAGTTGTTTAACTTCCCAGCAGCGTAGCACAACTGGGCTGAAACCACCAATATTCATTCTGATGCCCTTTCAAAGGCCATCACACTTGGGTCAAGTTTGAGAGAGGCAAAAATTGTTTATCATCACAAATACTCAAATTATTCCTAGTGTGCAGAGAGAAAAAGGACAGTTTCAGATTTGGCAAGAAACAAGGTCGTGTTTGGGGAAAAATGCAGCAAAAAAGGAGGGTCCCTGTTCACAGGGTCTCAGTGCTGAGAAAGCGTGAAGTAAAGGTCATGTCAACTTAATGTAGAATTGGGAGAAGCCTTTTTTCTTGTTCAGAAAAGCATTAATTGAAGCAAAATATGGAACTGACTCCTTGAGGACAGCCCTACTTCCCCCCACCCAGTCCTTCTGTTACCCCCACTCCACACTGTTTGATGTTTTGCTGCCTGAGCCACCCTTGTGGAACTAGTTCCATGGGTCACTGAGGCAGCACGTCCTCAGAGCCAGCTCAAACCGTCCAGTGGGAGTAAGATGTAGAGACCATTCTTAATGCTGAATTGATATTATTCAAACAATACAAACACTGTGCTACTGGAGAAAGGAAGGTGTGAGTACAGCGCTCTCAGGAAGTCTCCAGTCAATGCTTTTTTCCAAAGAAAAAAAAGATGTGCCACAATGGAGCTCATGAGAGGGATGTGAGAAGTCACTCACGCCCTTCCCTGCTACAGTAAAGATGTATTTTGTACTGGAACCTTGTCATGGATAAGATCAAATCAGTTCTTTACACCACACTGTCATCACTGTGACACTGCTGCCACGAGTGCAAACGTGCTCAGCTCTGGCTCCTGCCATCACTGGTTCCTGCTGTCACTGGTTCCTGCCATCACTGTTTCCTGCACGATGCCTCACTCCAACCCCTGATCCTCACACTTCAGCCCTTCCAGAATTACCTGACGACCTTCTTCATGGCATGTGAAGGGGTCTACGTTGAATTTGCTTGTTATTAAAGGAAATCAGCTTACACAACTTCAGTATTAAAGTTTAATATCAAACAATTTGCTCATTGTTACCAATTCTCAATTACAAAACAGGCTCCAAAAAAATTCCATAAAATATGTTTAACTTGGCTGAACAAGAGTTAAGCGTGTTCAGACTGTGCGGGTAAATAATATCCATAGCTTTTTGGTATAAATTATCTACAAAAACTGGTATAAACAATATTCCAATCTTAGTCTGGGTTCCATCTAGGATTAGGGCGATCCCCGCGGCGTTAGAGCTCGTTGCCATTGACACATTTCTGCTGCTGGAGCCTGGCTTTACGTAACGCCTCCAGCTGCTTCGCCCTCAGCCACCGCTCCCGGGACAGCGTGGTCTGCCCCGCGCTGAGGGACAGGAACCTGGGGAGCACAAAGGGAGTTAAAGAAGGACATCTCCACACCTTGGGTTTGAGAAGCGATGGAGCACAAATCCCCTGTTGTGTCAGCATCCTGAGAATTGGAAAGGAGGGGGAGGAAATACTTGGGCAAACCAAGACTCCGTGAAAAGGGAGATTAAAGGCACCATCAGCAAGTTTGCGGACGATACCAAGCTGTGTGGTGGTGTGGATACACCAGAGGAGAGGGTCCAGAGGAGGGCCACGAGGATGATCAGGGGGATGGAGCACCTCTGCTACGAGGACAGGCTGAGGGAGCTGGGGTTGTTCAGCCTGGAGAAGAGGAGGCTCCGGGGAGACCTAATAGCAGCCTTCCAGTACCTGAAGGGAGCCTACAGGAAGGCTGGGGAGAGCCTGTTTAGAAAGGCCTGTAGTGACAGGACGAGGGGCAATGGCTTCAAGCTGGAGGGGAACAGATTTAGACTGGAGATGAGGAGAGGGTTCTTCACTGTGAGGGTGGTGGAGCACTGGAACAGGTTGCCCAGGGAGGTGGTTGAGGCCCCATCCCTGGAGATATTCAAGGAGAGGCTCGACGAGGCCCTGGGCAACCTGGTCTAGTTGGGGGTGTCCCTGCTGACTGCGGGGGGGTCGGACTAGATGGCCTTTGGAGGTCCTTTCCAGCCTGGGCAATTCTATGATTCTATGATTCTATAAAAACAGGAAGAAAGGGAGAGGTGATCCCAGCAATCCAGCCTCATCCAGTTACACCCAAACTCAGACAGAGACCAGCAAAGTGGCAAGCGGTGGTACCCACCTGGCTACGAGCAGAGTCCGGTGCAGGTCATCAGCCGTGATGCTCTCGGGGTCGTTCTTGCGCATTTCTACAAAGTCTTCTTCTACTGCCTGAAAACAACACAGCACGGAATCGGGTGACAAAAAAGAATCTCCCCTACCAGATTAGCTTATAGGGAGTTAAACACCGTAACGACCCTGAAATTACAGGAGAAACGTTTCAACTCGTTATTGCCAGGAAGCAAACCTGACTGAAAATAGTCCAGTTCTTGTCTTAAAGAATTAGCTTTCAAAAAGAGTTTTAGGAAGCAGGGTACATGGACGGTAAATACTGAAATATCCAGGAGTACAGGTCCTTGGAGGCACATTCAGGACAACAAAACGCTTCTGTTTGGTTTTTAGAAATCTTCAAGAAGAAACACTGACAAGGAGAGCGATGGGAAAGTAATAACTTTCTATGACAATGTTTTTTATCTGAATATACAGTTGAAAACATATTAGTGAAGTCTTCCCTACCTTGGTCACTTCGTCAGATATACTGTAGTCCAGCAGCCTCAATAAGCTCAGATAAATTCGGAACTTGTTCAGCACAGAAGGCAGCACCGCTGTGAGGAGGCTGTTCATGTACTCCTCCATGTTGGGTGGAATTAGCTGGGGTTGTAAGTGGACTTGGCAATCTGACTGAAAAATAAAATTACATGACATTACCATCCCTGGAGGTGTTCAAAAGAGGGGTTGATGAAGTGCTGGGAGGTATGATTTAGTGATGATGCTCCTTGTTTGTTGTGTGGGTGTCTATTTTTGTCAGTTAGGTTGACGGTTGGACAAGATGATCTTTAAGGTCCCTTCCAACCTAGAAGATTCTGTGATCTCTTTCCACATCCTATTTTTCTCTATTCTAAGATTAATTTAATCTCTAAAGCAACAAAAGTCACTATGTCCCAGAACTAAGACAAAATTTATTCTTTAAATATGTAAAGGTGGTTTTTGAAAACCAGTGTGAAGTCCTTATTCAGGCAGAAGCCACTTTCACTGAGAGGCAAGAGAGCAAACACTCAGTCCATGGAGCTGGAAAACAGATGAGTTATTTCTAAGCTTTGGCTACTCCTCTTTTCTAGGGTGAGTGCCAGACCTGCTGCCTGTTCCCCCTGTGCCCATCCCTGTGGGGACTCAGGGCTTCAGGCTGTCCCCGCTGCCGGCATCTCCGTCAATCACCGTGTGGCTGCCGCGCCACCGCTGGGCTGCTCGGCCAAGGAGGAGGGAAGGTCAGTCCCTGGGTTCTCCTTGGGACAGGTTCTTGGCCTGGCTGCAGCCACGAGGGACAACTAGTGCTCGTGTCACACCCAGCCCTGCTCACGAGGCACATTTCCCATCTTCACTCATCCCTGGAATGGGAGTCAGAAGCTGCCACCTGCGGTTATTCCCCAAATTCAGGAAGCCCTTGCCGTACCGGTAGGAGCGACCGGCCCTCCGAAGTGATAAGAACATTAATATTGCAGGGGAATTCCATCTGGTGGTAACTGAAGTCATAATCCACCTTCTGCCAGGTTATCAGGTTACCCAGTGCCGTCACGTTGTGTACACCTAGAAAAGCAACAACAAATTCTCTGACAACCGGACCTGAACACGTCAGACCTGACCCCCCCATATCTGTTTCTAATGAGCAGCTGGAATAAAAATTCTTGCAGGCATCCTGCTGCTTCTTGTGTCTGTGGTGTCCTCCAGATAGAGACAGCCATTTCTTCACACCAAAATTAAGAATTCTTGAAAGATTTCAAGCCTAAATTTTATCTGGCAGAGTCTATGTGTTTCTAAATAGAACCAACCTGGAATCTGAACTTCTCTGGTTCTGGCAGACGAAGAGCATGACTGTGACAGAGCACTGACACTCACCAGGGAGACCAACAGGCTCCCAGTGTCACACACACTTCTCAGGACAGCGTTTTTATTCTAAAATTGTCCTGGTTTGAGGTAAAACAGAACTAATTGTCTGTTCAGTAATATCACCTTTTCAGCTGGGGCTCTTCTAACGAACTAAACTCTGAAATTAACAGCATGTTGTTCAGACTGTTCACTCTCATGGTGATAAGAGCT